GGGCTATCTGCTTTCTCTCTGAACAATCAGTGCAAAGGCAGAGGACAGGCCACGTTTGCTTGCAGCTGTGCCCTGCAGCGTTGGGCCTGCCGGCAATCACATCCAGCAGGCCGGCCTCACTGCGTCCCACACGTCCCACGGTGCAGCACCAACCGGGCCGGGCACAGGCCCTGGTGCACAGCATCACCCAGCCCCAGTGTGGCACAAGCCAGGCACAGGCCTGGCACACAGCGCTGCCATCAGCCTGCCCTCCCTCCCCCACACAGAAGCACTGACACCGGCCAGCAGGGCTCAGCCCAGCGAGGTGCAATGCACATGGCAGCCTCGCTCCAATCAGCCCATGTTCTTTTTGCTACACTTTGCCCCGGTGTCTCAGACCTTCAAGTGACAAAAGCTTTTCTGTCCTTTCTGAAAAGGACCATTTTATGGACTTTTATCATTGACTGCCATGCGGAAAATGGAAAGATCTACAAAACGAGAGCAAGCCATTATCTGCCTCTCAAGAAACTCTAGCTGAGTAAGCAGTCAAACGGTTTAAAATGGGAAACTCAGGAAACATGACAGCTTTCAATCCTCCTGAGGACCCTAATGGTAACTTGTTCAGAATAAAGACGCCAACACTTCTAATGCTTCCTCTGACCACTGCTGGTAGGAAATTCCAATTGTTATTGCTATCCAGCTCCATGTAAGCACCCATTAGGAAGTATGATTATATTACTACAAAGCAGACAGCAAAAAGCTGCGGAATTTCATTATTAAAAGGAACTATGAATTCATGTAAGCTGCATCCCATCCACAGACTGCGTTTACACCCTTTAACACTGTAAGCATATTTGGCAATAAGCTATCACATACAATTTACCAGTCACAGTTGGCATGTATACAGGTAATTCTCTGGACTATTTTAATATTTCTTTCATGAAGAGAAAACTCTATTCCTACCTCGAATATCTCTGCAGATATAGGCTTACAACCCCTGTTAATTACCAACAACAGGATGTGGGAAGACTCTTCAAGTCTGGTTTATTTTTTCTTTGTGAATGCTTTAGCAGTGCAGTCATACTGAGCCTGGACAACCACCTCATGAAACCTGTTACTCCTGCTTTCTTAAGCAGAAGGCCCGAAGCTCATTTTCCTTTTCTAAGATGCAAGTAATCTTTGCAACATCTCCGCACACATTCTAGGAACAAGATGATGCAGCGGAAGCTCATTCTCCTCTTGAGTGCCCCATTCCACCCAGAAAAGTTCATGGCTATTCCTTGTTGTTGCCAGTACTCATTCCATACCCTCATGGCCAGCAGTGCTTTGAGAACTGCTTACATCCCACGGCCTTTCAGCTTTGTTCAGCCACGCGTTCTGTCCAGTATACCTTAAGGAGCACGTGTGTGGGAGCAGATTCAAAGCTAAATTATGTGATGAGTAATGCAAAGGCGTCCTCGAACCGGCCTGTCTACATGAGGACAGTCAGAAAAGCCAGCAGAAGCCAACCAGCCTTTCTGCTGGGAGCATCAGGACTTTTCTGAACGCCTGCCCTGCACTGACAATGAGAAGCGAATCCCCTGCCAGGCACAGGGCAGCGCGGTCCGTCAGGGACACAGCTGAGCACACCAGAGAACCGCCGACCCAAACACTCCAGCTTCGGACAGCCTGATGAGACAGACTGCCTTCACGGATTCAAGTGAACATCCAGTAGCTCAAGTGAGAGTATCCACACCTGCTCTGGCACAGTCCTTAGAAGTTCCTCTCCCATAAACAAACTCAATCCACACTAGTGCAAACACACAGTACAGACAGTACATGCAATAAGCCTGTTTACCAAGAGCAAAGGAGTTCAGTCTACAGCTTTTAAACAACATTATCATGCGAGTTAAATTAATTAAATACCATTGCAGCTCACAAAAACTACTCTTTTTTTTTTTTTTCCTTCTCTTTCTTTAAATTGAATCTGGTCTGTGCCAGTGCTTTCACATCTGGGTGGAGTTCTGATTTGGCTCATCCTCAAAGCTTTTAAAAGTAAGGGTAAGTATTTTAACTTAGAAGACTGAACTGTATTTGAAGAAGCTTTATTTGCATTATTTTACTTCCATAAACTCAGTTCAAACATCCAGAACAAAATCAGCTTAGTGAAAAGCTGCACAATTTTGTACAGTCATTCCAAGAGCAAAGGAATCCCCCAACTAAACCCTAACACAGCAGTGGCCCTTCTTGAGGGTTGAGTAACAGCAGTCAGAGGACCTCCAACAGTCCGAGAAAGTATTTCTGGTAGGGATGGTGAAGAAATAAAACATTAAAAAAAAAAAAAAAAAGAGACAAAATGAACAATCTTAGTTTGGACTGAGAAAGATATTTGTCAAACTAAGCTGAAAGCCATCAGGTATTTTGCCTTAAGTCCTAGCAATAAAGGTGCAGTAATTTGTGGCTCTTGCTTTTAATAGTTATGGATGTTTAAGCTGGCGAACTAACACAGCAACCATGCAGTCACACACAAACACAAGGCAGACTTGGCCTATGTGAAATAAGAAGTAACACTTGAAGATGGGTCTGTGTTAAACTATCCGAAATTGCTGATATCTACGGGTTCTCAAATGCAAACATTCCCAAGTCAGTGCAAAGCTGAACACTTACACAGCTCTCCCCAGAACAGCACTTCAAAAATTGACAACCATTACATAAATCAGAGAAAGGCATTAACCCCATTCACAGAAGGATGACAGAGGCTTGGAGAGCTTACAGAATTTGGTGAAAGCCCTGTGGTGCAAACAGTCATTCTGAAAAGTGAAACCAGCTGAGGCCAAACTTCATATCACCAAGCCCTACTACTCTCCTGTGTGAAGTTCTACACTTCATTAGCTGATGTTTTGTGCCAAGCAGCAGCAGCAGCACTTTTCAGCTTGTAGCTCTCAAATCTGCACAGTCACATTGCATTTGAAATCTCCATCATTAAAGATTGCTAGAAGCTAGAATTCTGACTTTGCAGCTGCATTACCCACGTGAACCATTTAATGATGTACTACTCAGCAGCAGGTGCTCCAACTTTCATACAGACATTTGTCAACTTCAAAATATAAGTAAGCAAGCAAGGAGTCAAGATTTTCACATCAGGTGTTAGGTGGTCTAACAGTCACTAAATTTGGTTGAGAAACAGATTAGCAAAATTCTCCATCAAAGCAGAGTGCTATATATGCCATTTGCTACCTCTTCCCAAAGCCTCAAGCACAAACTAACCTTCCCATTCCCATCCCAAGTGACAGCGAGGAGAGAAGACAACACGGTTCTGATACCATCGACAAATCTGGATTAACAATCTGTTTTGACTGTATCTTCATACACTATGCTTTTTGTTTCGCTAAATAAGTACAAAGACTGAGCACAACTGACATCAAGTGAATCGTTGCACAATTCCCTATGCCAGAGAAGCAAATCTGAGTTTTGATTCTTCTCCTCTGGTTCACTATACTTCAGAACCTGTGCATCATTTACAAGCCAAGCTAAGTAGGCTTAGCTTAAAGTCGGCTTGGATAAAACAGAATTAAAATGGAGCTATCCAAAGGAGTTCATTTAAAAGTATTTGAGATGCCCCATGTAAGTGTCCACAGGAGTGTGCACGAGAGTCATTGCTAACCAGACCTTCCCTTCAGAAGGGACACAGCTCTGCCTGCAGGCACAGCTCCTGACGTGGACAAGGGAAACGACCCAAAGAAGCGAGTTTTCCTTTCCGTACCACCTCGAAACCATTCCTCTCCATTTCTCCAAGATGAGGAGACACAGAGAAACAGAAACAAATAAGGTGCAGCAGAACCATATCGGCACCCAAGGTGGTCTGGAGGGTGTGCATTTTTAACCTATTTCAAATAGTGCCTACAACAGCGCTTCAAATTTTTGACAAACGCATTTTAAAACACGTATCGTGGGGGAAAAGTTCAACCGTAACATCAAAGCAGCCCGGCACTTCGGAGCGCAGCAGCACCGCAACTCGCAGCAGCGCAGCGCGGGGCTGAGCGGCCGTGCCCTGCAGGGCGGGATCCCCCGGACCGCGCACAGCCTCACTTTATTCACCGACCGCCAGTTTTTCCCAAACGTTTATCCGACCAAACGCGCTGGATCGATTCAGTGACAGAACCGCACGGCTGCACGCAGTAGCAGCTCTTCGAGACGCTCGGAGCACCGCCTTTGTTCTCGGCACAGCGCCGGCCCCGCTCCCGCAGGTGTGCGGCGGGTCGGCAGCACCCAGCGCGCCCGAGGAACGGCGGCAGCAGCGCCGCACACCGCGCACCGGCACAAACGATAACGATCACATCCCCTTTCTGCAGCGCCCGACGACATCGGCAAGGAAGCGGCGGCCTCCCTCGAGCCCCACAGCACCGCGCCGGGCGCCGCCTGAGGTCCCACCCAGCCTTTGTGTCTGCGCGGGGAACAAAAGGCAGCGGTGCCCCCAGCCCCCCGCAGAGGTCGACTCGCGAGAACGGCCGGGACCCACCTTGGAGAGCTGCCGCCGGAGGCTGAAGCGCTGCACCATGGTCCGGGCCGGGCCGCTCCGCGGAGGGCGAACGGCGGGAGAGCCGCGCCCGCAGCGCCCGTGGCCCAGGGAGCCGGAGCCGGGCCCGGGCCCCCCGCCCTCAGCGCTCGGGCCGCTCCATCGCCGGCAGCCCCCAAGGAGGGCGGGGCGCGACTTGCCCGCACCGCTCCGCGCCTGCACCGGAGGCGGCCCCGCCTACGAGGCCCCGCCCCGCCCGCGGCGGATCGCCGGCGGCCCGCAGCCGGAGCGCGGGCGCGCCGCTCCCGCAGCGCTTCCGCCCCGATCCCGTCCGCAGGAGCGTACCCGCGCGGCACGGTCACCCCGAGCTCCGCGCCGTGCCCGGCCGAGGCGCTCTGCCGGCCGAAGCCCCGCGGCGCCGTCCCGGAACAGAGCGGCGTCCCCGGGGAGCGGAGCGCTACGAGCGCGGCTGCGCGGAACCGTCGCCGCGTGGCGGTGCTCTGCTGCGCGTGGGACGCGGCCCGAATCGCTCGGGGCTGCAGGAGGACGAAGCTCCAGCCCTGCGCTACCGGGGCTCCGAGAGGCCGGAGGGCTCGGGCCCGGTTCCAGCACCGCCTCGCACGTCCGTCCTTTCCTCCGCACGTTCCAGCGCGCGAGGTTTAATTCTTCCATGAGAACGCACGCGGAGGAGTTGCTGTAATCGCCACCAAACACTGCTTCTCCACACCGCAAATATGTACCCAGCTGTGCTCCACTTGTCCAACCATCTTGGTAAGAGGGGGTTTTGGATCCCTTAACTTGCTCCTTTTCCCATTCCAGCACTCTGAGTGAAGGATGCAGCACGATCTTCACGCAGAAGGCAGCGCAGGGCTCCGTCCCTCTATCTGCAGCACAGGTACGCGTGCACGGCCAGCAGACCTCCGCGGGAAGGAGCAGAGGGAAACAAAAGGCACAAACACAATGAAGGCCTCAAAATACCTGGAAATTAGTCAGTTTCTTAAGTAGCCCTATCTCAGCATTTTCGGTTTCAGGCTTCATAGGATTTTATTTCCAAGCCTTTCTGGAATTGCCTTCTGCCTGCAACTTCGCTCTCATTTTCTCCTGTTCCTTCAACTCGGAGCTGCTTTTTTTTTGTGTGCTCTGCTCTAGCTGGCAGAAGGTCCCTGCGACACTCCTGTACGGAGCACCCATGACACAACTTCTGCACAATGATCCACTGAAGCAGAACGGCAATATTTAAAGGGAAAACACCAAGAACATCTGAACAACAAAAATAATGATACTGAAGAGATCTGAAAATTTTATATTAGAGAAGATATCAGGAATGCTTTCCTACTTCTTATGTACATTAAACATTTTAATAAGTTTTAAAAATATGTTCCTTCTCACTGTCTACAACTTAAACACTTCTAGTGTATGAATGCTATTGTCCCAGAAGAAACTGCTTTAAAGGATGATTTATGTGATCTCAGCTAAAGCACCTTTAGAGCTGCACGCTTCTGTTTCCTTTCTGCTAACCTCTTATTCACTAATAGACAACACGTCTGACTGTATCCTCAATATTCTGTCTGAGAACTTACATATCAGGTACAATTTTTTCAGTACAACTCAAACGTAGGCACAGAATTGCACCACGAACCCAGCAGGGAGGGCTCCTTTAATCATTACATTTAAGTGTCTATAGCATCAACCCCTTCATTGTGCAGTCTTGCACAAAGTTACCTTCTGAATAACTCTAGACTACAGTCAAAGTTACTGGAGCTCAGAAACGGCTCTCAGTACCTGGGGTGGGAGCACATCCCAGCTGAGTTTGGGCTGTATCGGGTAGAGAGGGATCACCCAGCACTGCACTGCTCACCAGCACTCTGCTCAGACCCTACTTTAAAAGGAAGGAAGCCACAAGGATCCCATGCTGTGCTCCAGCACACTGGATCAAGGGCCCAGGACCCTGTGCCATGCCTGTCAGTTGGAAGAATTTGCACACAGAGTTCACACAAAATTACTCTCCGCAGTACGTATTGGGAAAGGACACTCTGCTCTATTGCATGGCTGCATAGTGGAAGGACGGGTGATTTAGGCCAGCATATTTGCCTTATTAAGGAAAAATGTTTGTAGCCTATTTTTAATGTCAACAGTTGGCCTGGAGGGTAAAGACAGAAGAGAGTTGGACCAGGAAGGGTTATGAGAAGGGTCAGCATGGTTCTCTATATAGAACTCAAAGGGAGGGTTAGAAAAAGATTAAACAGAGTTTTATTTTATAACCACCATCCAAAATTAACATCTGAAGATGTGCACCTGAGCACTGAGAACCCCAGCAGTTGTATCACAGCATGATTTGGTTGCACTCTGCCCTGTCATTACTAACTCGGAGGTTTCACAATGCAGAAATGTTTTCTGTACAAAGTGCTCCCTCCCACAACGTCAGGTCCTTTTCAGAATGTTCATTCTTCCTGGCAATGCACAGTGCACCACCCAGCTACCGGGCCCCGATTTTACTACAGTCACATAATGCTGACAGTAAATGCTGCCAGGGATGGAACACCAGAAGGCTCCTCACACTGGAGGAGCACAAAGCAGCACCACAGGCATCCCATACCTACAGCTGCATCACTCCACGCTGACCTGCACTGACCTTCTCGCTCTGCTGTTTGACTCCACAGAAGCCTGCTGCACATCATTTAATTCCTAGTGCAGGACACCTGTAACTGTGAACAGTCTCTGTGTCCAGAAACTTGACGCACGTTTATTGCTTTCTACCCTGCTTTCCAGCATTCTTGTGACAACCCTCCTCCCATGGTTGAAGTTCTTCTTCATGTGTGCTTAGAGACACACTTGGAACTTGGAAAGTGGAAAAAGTCAGGCATGATATTGTATTTATGCTACGTATACAAACTCTCCAATGTCATTTATCAACATTATAATCAAACGTGAGAGCCCTACAGTTCAAATCCACTTCTAATCACTGCATGGTCATCATAGTTTTACAACTTCCAAAAGCTTCACACTCCTGAAGAAATCAATATTTTTTTCCCCACACATCTCCTTCCCTTTGTAATTATAATTTGGGAGATTTTGTTAAAATCATTTGCTTAGATTAAAGCTTAGGTTAATGATGAAAAAGTTAGTTTTTAGTACCAGCACTTCCACGCTAACCAAAGACTGCTCCCATGGGATTTGCACAAGTGGGTGTGCTCCCCTCAGACAGCTGACACAAGGCCACACACTTGCAGTACAATTCACAGCCCTTTTAGGCGCCTTGCTGCCATGAGCATAACAGCAAAGCGCGTGCCGTCCCACCAACCCTTGCAGGAACACTGGCAGTGACCTCACAGCAGAGCTGCCTGAACAGCAGCTCCATTCTAGGCTGCTTCACTGAGCCTCAGCGCCCCACGGCTTGCGGGAACCTGCTGTGCTATAGGCAAGATTTAAGAGCTCACACCAAGTGAGCAACATGTATCATAGACAATGGGATTACAAGAGAAACCACTGAGAGCTAATTAAACACCTTCCTTTCACATTGTGTCTACATGCATTGATCTACATGGTGCAGGAGTGCAGTGCAGTGCCTCAGCTGTAGGCTCAGTGCACGCTTCTTGTCACAGGAATGCTGCAGGTGGAATTCAGCTATGGAAAATAGAAAAGACAAGGCTGTGGGTAGGTCAGCAGTGCAAATACCTGGGCTGTCTGCAGGAAACAAGTGACAGTACAAGGGGAGGTTGAGATAATCTTATCCGTTAGTAATGTTAGATACAAAACATTACAGAAGCAGCAGAAGAATTTCAGACTACAAAAAGGGAGTCCCATGCAATGAAGTGGTCAAATGCTCACACACACACACAGTGAGCACTGCCACGGCCAGGTCCTGCTGCAAGTATGGGGCTGAGCCCAATGCCTCGCATCCCCCGTACCTCCACATGCACTACCAGATCTGTTTCCTTCAACAGTCTCTGATTACAATTTCTAGGGGTCAGATAAGTCCACTGCCATCCCCACTATCTAACAGGCACAACACTGCTCCTTGTGAAGGACAGCAGCTCCCAGCTCAGTGTCCCAGTGAGCTCCATGCAGCACTCAGAGCCCCTCGTGGCAGCTTTGCCACTGACCTGTAAACCCCCACACCGCCCCCAGTTGCAGACCTGCAGCCACCGCTCCCCAACCTGCTGCCCCCCAACCCACAACAGCAAGGTATGGTGCCTAAGGACCGCAGCCAGTCCCGTGCATTTTGTCCCGGGGACAAAATCTCTCAATTCCATGGCCAGACAAATAACCAGGCAGCATCTGCCTGCATAAATGTAAACACACCCATTTATAAGACAGGGCCTGAAGAACTGATGCCTACAGCCCAGCCCTTTGGTTTGCACAAAGCTAGATTTGTTGCTGTCAGTCTATGGTTCTCTGCACACAACAGTGCATAAGTTGCTTCAGAAAAACAAAACTAGATTCAAGAAGGGTGCTTAAATTTACATATCTTTTAATTTAAGCTTCTTTTGTATTATTTACATTTCACAGAAAATACTCAGTTTCAGTGCTGTGTGAGCATGATTCTCTCTCAGTCATTGTGAGGACAGCATCCCGTATTTCTGAAAGCCAACTCAATAGCACAAACCAATTTATTTTCGGGATGGATGAAGTGAACTGCTTGCATACAGATGTTCTGAAAAGTCAGAGCTCCCTCTATCGATTGAGACTGCAGGAAGGACATTTGTTCTGCATACAGAAAAGGGTATGGAGGCATCATCAGTTTTATCTGCATCTATACCAAATCATCTGTAGTATTACTTCCTGTTAAAGCTTTCCACATGTGAAGATCATTAAAAAATCTTGACATAAAGATGTCATCCCCATCTAAAAAAGTCTCAAATAGCAACACAAAAATAACTGAGAGTACAGAAAAAGTTAACAACTGAACAGAAAATAGGAACCTGCTTCACTTTTCTCACTGTTGTGGCATTCCAGGTCAATGGATGCAGCTTCTTCAATCAAAATTTCTTTGCTTCACTCAAAAACTACAAACACTGCTAATTCAGACCTCCTTGCCCTCCTCATTGGATGCCGTTCTGCTCTGGTGAGTGCACCTGTTCCTTCAGTGCTGACAAATTGGAGCACTCCAGAAGTAACACCTCCTATTTATTTCCAGAAACTACAGCAACTACAAAGCACATCAGTGCTGCTGGATAGAGCACGTGCTCAGACACAAATCGCTATTTTCCAACACAGTCACCACCATTAGTTACGCATTTTAGCTTGTGATGAACAAGAGATTGCATGCCACACATGACTACTGGCACTGCTGAAATGCGGCACCCACCCCTCACTGTGCTCACAGCCACTGCTTGGTCCCCATACATGCTGTGTTGATGAATGCACAGCAGATGCTCCCAGCTGCACAGCACCGATCAGCACAGGCTGAGGAAAAGGGTCAGAGACTACTAAGTGTGCGTATAACATCTTTACTGGCATTATTCATTTTTATTTTCTGGAACAAATCTGGACTAATGACAATTCGACTCTCAGATGTCAATTATACTAAAATTAATTTCTTGGCTCTCCTGTATTTTAGTGTCCTTCCACTTTGTCCATAAAGACAACTTTGAGCACAAGGTCACTCCAGCGCTTCACAAAGGTGACAGCCACCAGGCAGGGAAAGGCAGTGCCTGGCACAACATCGTCGTTTGAAGCAATTAAGCAACTAAAGATCAATTTCTGTGCCTGTAAAACAACCCTCAGCCTACTCTTGACCTATCACTCCGCAATTACACCACTACACAATCTGCTATTATCTTATCTTGTTGCAAGATGCAAACAATGCAACCCTATCCCTGCACAAAGCACAGCACTGCGTTGCGGCCCTTCTGCTGGAGCAGGAGAGCAGTGGTCACTGTGGCATACTGCACACAGCTACTGAATTGCATCTTCTGGAAGTTCAGATCTGTAGCTGTAGCTACTTGCAGCATTACCTTCGAGAATGATTTCCTGAGACTGAAATGATCCTGATGCCCCTCACACACCAACCCATCCAAATTTCCGTGGTACCTCACCGCCAAGCATGCATACGCTCCTATTTACAGCGAAGAAAAGCTCCTCCTCCTCGTTACAAACCATGCCAACTCCGCACGATCTGTGGTGTTTTAACATGATTCAGCTGCATGTACTGCAAGTTAATATACTATTTCCAGAAGGACTCCTGACTGACTTCATCTGTGTATATGGGAAAAATTATTTTTAATGTAAAAGTGATGCTTCAGGGGGAGAACTACAAAATGTTTTATTTAGAATCTATTATGGTAAAATTCCAAAAACATTTACCATCTACAGGCACTGAATGGGAGAGCAAACGTGCTGCAGAGAGTACTGCTTATTATTTTGTGAGATGTGTGACAGCTTAGGCAATCTTTTACAGACAGCCCAAGTAATGCTTCCACACAGTGCTAACAATACAGAAAGCTGCTGCATCGTTACAGGTGGCTGTTCCAGGAGCCATTAATATGTCACCAGAGTGCCTGTTTGGAAAGCGTCATTAAAAAGTAACTAAGAAAAGCAGGTTACTGTGAGGAGCCTTTATGTGACGCTCAGGATGCCAGTACTGCCACAGGAGAACACTAAGGAGTCCACTAAGTACAGGCCAGCAATTATTACACAACTGAAGCACATGCAGTCTTTGTTTTTATACAGATACTACCAGAATATAGATTTAAGTTGGCAGCCAATATCTAAAGAAAATTAAAATATTTATGAAAGCTAATCACTGAAAATGAAAACAGGGTGAGAACACAGCAGAGCTGAAGTGCACAAAGTGCCTCAGAAAGCTGCTCTCTGGGGAATCTCAGTGGAGGAACATAAACTGAAGTGCTGGCACGGGCACAGACAAACTTTGAGATGCTCTGCTTTAGGCTTCTTGATTTCATTCACAGAATCACAGGGTTGGAAGGGACCTCAAGGATCAT